TCCCCCCTCCGCCCCCCCCCCCCCGCCCTCCCCCCCCCCCGCTCGTCCCCCCTCCGCCCCCCCCAGACGGACCTGCCGCTTTCCTCCTGAGGGAGGGGCTTCTGGGGAAGCGCCGCCGCCGCCTTGGCCTCCGAGGCTCGCGGCTCCAGGGGGCGGGGAAGAGGTGACCCGGATTTCACACCGAGCACCGAGTTCCCCAGCCGGGATGCCTAGAAGGGCCAAGCTGTCTTTCCTCTCTTCCTTCCGCTTTCGTCATCTCCATCGCCATCGATGGTTGTGCGCGCCCAGTAGCTCCGGATGGGAGCCGACAAGTGAGGAAGAAACAGGAAACGCTGATTAAACTCTCTCCCATCTCCTAGAGAGGTTGCTTCCTGGCCGCTTTGTAAGTCTGAGTCTCTGTTTTGCTCATAGAGATAGGAAAAGGCGCTTCCATTCCCATCGTTAGCAGATGTTTCATTTTCTCCTTAGGGAAGCGGCGCCAGGAGTTTCTCTTAACTGCGGCTGAGAGAGCGAGGCAGGAGTTCACGCTCTGCTTAACTTGGGTCGTTTCTCTGGCTGGAGAATCTGGTAGTTCGGGATTATTTTGCGAATAACTGCGGACCACTAGGCGCTTGATACAAGGGCTGAGTTTTGCTCCTGAGGAACATCAGCTCACCTGTGGGGAGCCCGAAGCAGCGTTTGGGCAGAAGAAGGGAAATGTCAAACGCGCCTAAGCGGTCACGCTGACTGATGGTCTACAGCGCTGAGCCGTTGCACAGCCCAGCCTGATAACCTGCAGCGTTGCCGCTCATTCTGCAAGGGTCCCACGACCTTTGAGGACTCCTGTAAATCATTCGCCCACCCTACCTACGTCCTCAGACCCCCTCCCAACATGAGCGGATGGATCATAACCGAGCTCTTTTTCAAAGCAAAATAAGACCTGACTTCGAAAGAGCGAACCCCTGTTGGATGGTTGGGGGCTACGGGGCTCGCACGATGCTACTCTGAGCAACTCTCACTTCCGCCCCAGGGAGGAATTAAAAATGGCTTCCCAAGGAGACCCGGAATCTCGCCGGCCGCGTCGTGAGCTGGACTCTGCAAGCTCATGATCTTTCCAAGGCCTCTTGCGAAGAGAGAACCGGGATCCTCGGGCGAAGCCGCTCGATGGGCTCGGCTACTTGACGAGCGGCGCGTGGGCCCAATCACGGCGGAGGGAAGGCGCTCAGTGGTGCTTCGTGAGGTACGAGTGGAGGAAAATAGGCCTCGGAACAAGCGCGGGGGCGGGGCGACTCCGAAGACGTCAGGGGGGAAGTCCGTTCGGGGGAGAGCGGAGGCTTCCCCGAGCGGGGAATGGTCGCGCCTGCGCGTGTGTTTGTCCCGCGGCAAGTGATATTGGAAAGGAGACTGCCTGTGAACTTTGAGGCTTCGCGTAGCTAATAACTTCTGGGCAGACTATTGTCATGACTTTTTTTTTTTTTTTAGTTTTTTCAAAGGCATCCGTTTTTTGCAATGCCGCATCTTATTTTCCCCCCCTTTTTTTCCAAAGGCGGCAGAGCTTTTTTGCAATGCCAACAGTCCAAAGGCATTGGGAGTGGAGTAGCGTATAAATTGAATAAATATTTTAATTAAAATTAAATAAAATTATTAAAGAAATAATATTTCAGCGAAGGCTATACCTGAGCTTAGCCTAATGAAAGCTTGGATCTGGTTCCTTTTAGGTGTATTCCCCTCCTTCTTAGCCAATTTATGAAAATTGCTGAGCAATTTATTTAGCATCCTGATGTTTCATAAGGTAAAAGAATCACGCACTTTATTTTTTGTTTTTTTCATTGAACACATAAGGGGGTAAAACTCAGTTTTTCTTGTTCTTACTGGTGAAGCACTTCTGCAGCTGTGTGAGTTTTGAAATGTAGCCCTATTCTCCCCCCCCCCCCA